TCATTCAAGTCAATGGTCATCTTGGTTATTGAAAGGAAAGAAGCTTTAAGTACTCAATATCAACATTTTAACAGATTTTAGATCATGCAAATGACATAATCGCCACTGCAAGTGAATGTAATCATGACATTGAAGATCAGTTACAAGCACAGTTGCAAGGTCTCAGGAACTGGATGTGCCAACTGATGGCATTTCAAGGTTGCGCCATCTCATTGCTTTACCCAAGGCTTAAAACGGCAGTGTATAGTCATTCAGTTTCAGGTGGCAATAAGAGAAGCCTGTCCAGCAATTTCCTGAGCTTGAGTGAGGATAACTGGTCATTTTCTGTTCCACTCATACTCACAAGGACAGTCTCCTTTCCCTTTTATAAATTACCCATAACAACAATAGTGACCACAACCCCATTTTTCTCCTCTCCTCTCACTCCTAACCTCATTCAAGCAATCTTCAAGCAGTAAATGCTTTGTTTAATATGTTTGAACTCATTAACATATTTCATTATTTCTCTTACAACAGTGTGTGTCTACTATAGAAATAAATTATAATTAGCACCTGATACTGCACATTACAATTGCATTCTGCATTCAAAGAAATATACTAATGAGTGCATTATTAAATAATTAGATTGTTGGTTTTATAAATGCTTTATATCATGCCAAATATCCCTTAGGGATAATTATACAAGTATTTAAAGCTGCTATAGTATTATTTGGAGAAATGGGATACACTGGTAATGCATTATTTTTTGCATTTAAAACAATGAAATATATGCCATGTCTACCAAAAACTTGTATGACCCACCAACATACATTCGTTTAGATTACAGACACCCACATATATATGATTTATATGCATATGTGTCTATACATGTATTGTGTGTGCAAGCATATATGTGCATATACATACACACATATATGTATAGACACATATACATACATAATCCATATACATACACATATAATGAAATATGTTAGATAATGAGTTCAAACATACTAAACAAAGCATTTACTGCTTGAAGATTGCTTGAGTGAGGTTGGGTGTGAGAGGAGAGGAGACACACATACATGCATAATCCATATACATACACACACACACATACACATCTCCTTTGCAGCATCGTGGTATAGAAAAAAATCAAAGCAATTCCATCTCTTCACAGACTCTCAACTTCATAAGTGATAAAATGGCTATTCAAGGCTGGGTATTTGGCCTAGCATTTAAGATGCCACTTGGAACACTTGTATCCCCCATCAGAGTCCTTAGGTTCAAGTTCTGCCTCTACTTCAGATTCCAACTTCTTGTTGATATGCACCTAGGAGACAGAAGGTGATGGTTCAAATATTTGGCTCTCTGCCACACATGTTAGAGACTTGGACTGAGTTCCTGGCTCCCAGCTTTGGTCCAACCCAGGCCCTGCTGTTGCAGGCATTTGGAAAGCAAACCAGTGGAAGGAAATGCATACTCTCTCTCTCCCTCTCGAACAAATTTTCCAAAAATGGCTATTTCATGTAATATCTACGTGATCCTTTTTTCCAGAGATTACAAGTAGTAAAGCACACAGATGCCCTAGCAATGGGACTAGCATATAGTTGCTGGTCAATGCATTTCTAATTCCTCCTAATGCTCACTACTAACTCTTTCCCACTAACTGTTAATTCCTGAGTCCAGGATCAGGGCACACCCATCTCGTGTTCTCAGAACCTGTCAGATCCTAAGCACTTAGTCAATGCTTGTTGAATTCAAAGGAATAAGACAAGGGCTCTTAAAAACTAAAGTACTAGTCATTGGGCTTTTAAGAGTTTTCTGATTTGCTTCCCATTACGTCTAAAATTGATGTAAGAACCTTATTTTTGGTTGCTCAGGATATTTTCAAGATGTCACAGAGAAAAGATCTACTTTTCTTTGATTTTTCAAATGTATTTTGTATATGACAATCTTCTAAATAGAAGGTGTTGTTCTTAGTGGCAGTTTTATTTTGGAGTGGCAATTTCTATAATATCCCTTTACAGGTAGAAATTTGTTTTATATTTCCACAAGAGTAGAATAAAATATGGATAATGTAGAATACAGATTAGAACTAAATTCCTAAATTAGAAACTAAATGTAATCTTTTATCTTTTCAATTTGCTTATAGGAAAAATCTTTTATTTTCATTTACAACTGAAAATTTTTATCAGCCTTCATCATTGTAATTTTTTTTAATTAAACCTTTCATTTCTTTATTATTCACTAGTCTTTGGTGCATCTAGCTTTCACATTTTAAAGCAGTACTTGTTAAGAAAATAGGCAGAGGATACCATAGCACTATCATATGTTTCCCAAACTTAGACCTTAATTTCAATTACACCCATACAAGGACAAAATATAACCCTAGAAAATGTGAAACATATGATCATTATAGTTCCAAGATTGGCCAGATCGCAATCAACTGGAACTTCCTTCTACCTAATTTAAATTCCATTTAGAATTACCCATGATAATTTGACCCAGGTCTCTTCACAAAGTACCATTATCTTAGAGTTTACAATTTCATTAACCTCTATGATTAGAAAAGAGAGGATTTCAAGCCTCTGGCTTGATTACCGTGAGCTATGATGGCTTCCTTTGCATGAGCTAAACTTGTCCTCCTTGCACTCCAAATTCAGTGCAACTCACACAATACCTTCACAGAAAAATATCATGAAGAAATCTTAGTTAAACCAGATTCTGTAGCAGACTGGCAGAAGGTTGATTTTTTTGTAATCAAAACTACTAAGTCACAGAGATTATTTTGAGCAAATTCAGATAGAATAATAAATTAACTAAAAATCATTCTAAACCACATAATACTGACTTATCTGATTGAATAAATCTTAGAAACTCACTTTCTTATAATCAGAGAAAGAAAAACATTAAATCTGGTAGTAACTTTTTTTTTTAATTTTTATTTAATGAATATAAATTTCCAAAGTGCAGCTTATGGATTACAATGGCTTCCCCCTCATAACGTCCCTCCCACCCGCAACCCTCCCCTTTCCTACTCCCTCTCCCCTTCCATTCACATCAAGATTCATTTTTGATTCTCTTTATATACAGAAGATCAGTTTAGCATACATTAAGTAAAGATTTCAACAGTTTGCTCCCACACAGAAACATAAAGTGAAAAATACTGTTTGAGTACTAGTTATAGCATTAAATCTCAATGTGCAGCACACTAAGGACAGAGATCCTACACGAGGAGTAAGTGCACAGTGGCTCCTGTTGTTGACTTAACAAATTGACACTCTTGTTTATGGCCTCAGTAATCACCCTAGGCTCTTGTCATGAGCTGCCAAGGCTATGGAAGCCCCCTGAGTTCACCGACTCTGATCATATTTAGACAAGGCCATGGTCAAAGTGGAAGTTCTCTCCTCCCTTCAGAGAAAGGTACCTCCTTCTTTGATGACCCATTCTTTCCTCTGGGATCTCACTCGCAGAGATCTTTCATTTAGGTTTTTTTATTTTTTTTTTTTCCCCAAGTGTCTTGGCTTTCCATGCCCGAAATACTCTCATGGGCTTTTCAGCCAGATCCACATGCCTTAAGGGCTGATTCTGAGGCCAGAGTGCTGTTTAGGACATCTGCCATTCTATGGGTCTGCTGTGTATCTCACTTCCCATGTTGGATCATTCTCTCCCTTTTTTATTCTATCCCCTAGTATTTGCAGACACTATTTTTGTTTATGTGATCCCTTTGGTTCTTAGTCCTATCATTATGATCAATTGGGAACAGAAATTGATCACTGGGACTAGTGAGATGGCATTGGTACATGCCACCTTGATGGGATTGAATTCGAATCCCCTGGTATGTTTCTAACTCTACCGTTTGAGGTAAGTCAGCTTGAGTATGTCCCAAATTGCACATCTCTTCCCTCTCTTATTCCCACTCTTATATTTAACAGCGATCACTTTTCAGTTAAGTTTCAGCACTTAAAAAGAATTGTGTATTGATTACACTTTTCAGTTAAAATTTAAACACCTAAGAATAATTGTGTGTTAATTACAGAGTTCAACCAATGGTACTAGAACAAAAAAAATACTAAAATGGATAAAGTATTACATTGTACATCAACCGTGAGGACAAGAGCTGATCAAGTCACTGTTTCTCATAGTGTCCATTTCACTTCAACAAGTTTCCGCTCTGGTAGTAACTTCTAAAATACGAGATCAAGCTTGGAATAATGAAGTGAGAAGTTTTAAATACTCACGAGGGATAGCAAAATTGCAAAATCTAAGCTAATATGAAGAGATTTAATTCAAACTATCAATATGGAATTCAAATTGCAGGCTCGGATTGCATTCTGGTAACCCATTATGGATTGCAGTACATCCAAATTCACCATGTGTGATTTTAAATCTGACATTGTTTCGCTCATCAGGATGAGAAGAAATATTTAAGATATGGAGTCCAACCACTGGAAAGATGTTTAGAATTCCTTAACTACTTTTTGAAAATAGTAATGATATCAAAGTTTTTCTAAAATTTTTAAATAGGGAGATATTTTGAATACCCATACCTGAGTATTATTTTTTTTAATCTCTCACCTTTTAGCAATTTTAGAATATCTACTCTGTAATTCTTATAATACTAACAGCCCCAAGGAAGCAAAATGGTATCTATCTTGTTTCTGATTCTATCTCCAGCAACCAGAGTAATGGATAATGCTGGCTAATATTATGTGTCTAAAACATTTGTTGAATGAGTGATCATATACATGTACCAACATAAGAGATCCCAGTCATTCACTAATAATGGATCCCATTTGTTCAAGAAAAAGAACTAGATGAGATGATGGACATGTTAATTTGCTTGACTGTAATAATCACTTCATTATATCAAGATAAGAATATCATGTTGCATACCTTAAATATATACAATAAAAGAAAAAAAATTGAACGAACACTTGTTGGATACTTATGTGTATCCTACAAGACTATAATCCTAGGCCACAGGGATTCAGCTATGAAGAAAAGGAAAGCCTTACCCATTAGAGTTGCTCTTCTAGCCGGATGAGACAATCAAGCACCACAATCAAGCAAAACAGAGGGAGGGTTGGTTGGTAACAAATGCCTGGTAGAAAATTAAACAGGGAAGGCAGATAATGGGTGTCAGGTCAGGGTAGAACCTTGAAATGTTTACGGTAAGGGGAGGGGAAGGTCAGTGTGACTGCAGCACACAGAGTCAAGGAGAAGGAAAACAGGAAACAAACAGCTATTGGGAAGATTTTACTCGGTGAACCTGGGAGGCATTGCAGAGCTTTGAGCAGAGACCCAACTTCTAACAAAACCCTTCTGGATGCTGTGTCCAGAGCAGAAGGAGCAGAGCTGCAGCCAGAACAAGGAGATCAGTAAAGAGGCAAGCTATCTCCAGCATTCAGTAGAGATGATGTGCTTATGTGTAGTGTTCATCCTGTGCCAGGCAGTGCCAGGCTGCTGTATTTTTTTTTTTTTTTTGACAGGCAGAGCTAGACAGTGAGAGAGAAAGACAGAGAGACAAAGGTTTTCCTTTTTCTGTTGGTTCACCCCCCAAGTGGCCACTATGGCCGGTGTGTTGTGGCCGGCGCTGTGCCGATCCAAAGCCAGGAGCCAGGTGCTTCCTCCTGGTCTCCCATGTGGCTGCAGGGCCCAAGGACCTGAGCCATCCTCCACTGCCCTCCCGGGCCACAGCAAAGAGCTGGACTGGAAGAGCAACCAGGACAGAATCCGGTGCCCCATCCGGAACTAGAACCCCAGGGTGTCAGTGCCGCAGGCGGAGGATTAGCCTAGTGAGCCATGGCACCGGCCAATATGTATTTAATGTTTGTATATTCTAGTATCTAATCCTCATGATCCCAGGATGTAAATATGATTTTTGCCATCTTATAGATCAAGACACTGAGGCTAATGATATTAAGCTAACTTGCCCAGAATTACTTGATCAACCCATAGCAGATGCAGACTCAAACGTAAGCCTATTAACTTCCCCCACTGTAATGCCATTCTGCATTTTCATACGTATTTATTTGTAAAATCTAGCATGAATATGTATATCTGGAGATTATGATAGCGTCCACTTTAGGGTTGATGTGGCAATTATAACAGGAAACTAACCTATTGTTCTCGCTCTGTTCTCTCTCTCATTAGGCCATGAACCTTATATACTAACCAAATCAACTAATTGTTTCTTAAACATGTCTGAATTTGGACCCGGTGCCATGGCTCACTTGGCTAATCCTCTGCCTGAGGCGCCGGCATACCGTATGGGCACCAGGTTCTAGTCCTGGTTGCTCCTCTTCCAGTCCAGCTCTCTGCTGTGGCCAGAAGTGCAGTGGAGGATGGCCCAAGTGCTTGGGCTCTGCACCCACATGGAAGACCAGGAGGAAGCACCTGGCTCCTGGCTTTAGATCAGCGCGGTGCACCGGCGGCAGCAGCCATTGGGAGGTGAACCAACGGAAGGAAGACCTTTCTCCCTCTCTCTCTCTCTGTCTATAACTCTACCTGTCAAATAGATTTAAAAAAAAAAAAAAAAAAAAAAAAAAAATTAAAAAAAAGTCTGAATTTTTCAACTATCTCCTAATTATAGGTTTTTAGAATTAAAAAAGAACTTAACCAACCTGACATTCCAGACAGGAGTTCTGTCTATACCTTGCCTGATAATAGGTCATTTGATCTCTGGATATTTTCAAGTGACCAAAAGAGTGTTATTGTTGGCTAAACCTGTTCAGGCGCTCACATGAGACCTTGCCTGGGGATTCCCAGAGATTGTTGCAATAGATCTTGCAAGGAGCTGGTCACATTAAAAGTGTGGGCCCAGGGCAGTAACGTTCACTTACAGAATTTAGTCCATCAGCCAGGCCTCTTCATGATAAAGAAATGTAATACTAACAAAAACTGGGACTTAGAATGAAAAAACAAAATCCTGCTCCTGTTGCATTAGGATGATTAGGTGTATAACTTAATATGCTTTAGATTGCAACTAATTCTCACTTTCCTCTATCATTCATGGAGAAATTCACTGTTGGAAGGACGGACACATGGAATCATGAGTTGTAAGATTAGAATCTTGGCTGGCACCGCAGCTCAATAAGCTAATCCTCCGCCTGCGGCACCAGCACCCCAGGTTCTAGTCCCGGTCGGGGCGCCGGATTCTATCCCAGTTGCTCCTCTTCCAGGCCAGCTCTCTGCTGTGGCCCGGGAGTGCAGTGGAGGATGGCCCAAGTCCTTGGGCCCTGCACCCCATGGGAGACCAGGAGAAGCACCTGGCTCCTGCCTTCAGATCAGCACAGTGCGCTGGCGGCAGCAGCCATTGGGAGGTGAACCAATGGAAAAGGAAGACCTTTCTCTCTCTCTCTCTCTCACTGTCCACTCTGCCTTGTCCAAAAAAAAAAAAAAAAAAAAAATTAGAATCTCAGCCTGTATGTACTGCAATTCAGGTTTGAGTTCAGAAAATGGCTCTCAGCCAGATCATCCTACCACTGGGAGCAATAGCTCTCTTTTCTATGTCATGACACTTTCAGTTCAACCCAGGGGTGGGGTTGTGGAGGTGGACTATAGGCTAGAGAGGAGAGGAGAGGAGAGGAAAGAATAGCGTAGGAAGAGACACTTTGGAAGCTCTGATTATCAGCTTGTTATATTGTATATTGTTATGTTATATTACTACAGTCAAGTACCTGAAGCAAATAAATTCATAAAGAGAAGATATTTATTTCATCTCGTGATTTTGGAGGTCCATAATGCAACATCAGATGGGATCCTTGGTTCAGCCCCTGTGATGAGGTTCTTGCTTGGCGAGGACCCAAGGTCGTACAGCACATTGCAAGGGAGGAAGGAGTCTGCCTCTCTGTGTGTGCGGTCTCTTACAGTCATCAGGTTTAATCCCAGGAGCGCCATCCTGATGATCCAGCCCAATGCCATCACGCTCCGCTTCCAAACACCACAATTGGATAAAGTACCCACCCCCTTGGTTAATGTAAGACTGCTGGGCCCAAACCTTCAACACATGGGCCTTTGGGGAACATTCAACACCCAAACTAACATCCAAACCATAGCACCATCCCAGAGTTTGCTAAGTTTCCAAAGAATATAGAAAATAAAATTCAAATATGTTCATTTTGACACAAAAACTTTGTAAAATATATGCAATTTTTTTTCATGACATGCATTTTCCACGAACTTTTTGAAGACTCCTCATTCGAAAAGCCAGAGACAGAAGAAAGGCTGCTGCTGTCAGTTCTGCGGTTTTTCATAGAACTTCAGACAACACAATCATGATTGTGAAAGTCCCTCCATCTTCCTCAATTCCTTGGCTCCAAACCTTGGGCACCAGAAGTTTAAGAAGAACAAGATAAGAGCACAATGAACAGGTGATGTTGATAACACACACACACACACCCCACACAGAACAACTGTGGCCACCTGAGACACATCAAGTGACTTCAGGAAAGCGAGTCAGCCACCCATTGTCTTTTTTTTTTTTTTTTGACAGGCAGAGTGGACAGTGAGAGAGAGAGACAGAGAGGAAGGTCTTCCTTTGCCGTTGGTTCACCCTCCAATGGCCGCCACACTGCGCTGATCTGATGGCAGGAGCCAGGGCCCAAGCACTTGGGCCATCCTCCACTGCACTCCTGGGCTACAGCAGAGAGCTGGCCTGGAAGAGGAGCAACCGGGACAGAATCCGGCGCCCCGACCGGGACTAGAACCCGGTGTGCCGGCGCCGCTAGGCGGAGGATTATCCTAGTGAGCCGCGGCGCCGGCTAGTCACCCATTGTCTTAAGATCTTCAGATAAACCAGGCATCTTCCAAAAGTTCGTGAAAAATCTGTTAGGAAAAAGCTTTGTCTGGACATCAGTTCTTTGGCACAGAACAAAACATCTTGTATTCCCATTTTTTTTCCCATGAATTTCATGAAATCTCTTCCTACAATTAAAATTAAAAGCACATCTGCTTACACCTATTGATCTTTGAAATTCCGTTTTTTGTATTCTCCCTGTATTTTAGCACGAAATCTTTTTGGCATATTCACTTCAAAACAACAGAACAGAATTGAGAGTTCCGACTACAAATCTGCATTACTGAAGGAAAGAGCTCTGCATGGTAGCTTCTCACACTGTTATTACACAATGTCATATAACAGCTCTCTGCTTAAAACCTCACCCCAGACTGCCGCCTGAGTCACAGGAAAAACACGGGGAGGGGACGGTCCTCAGCTACCTCTGAGGCCAGGGCTTTGGAACAGGATGTGCCTCTTCCTTGAGGTGACAGGTTACATACTGAGAGGTTTTTTTTTTTTTTCATCCCTATTGAAAACATCTCCTTCGCTGCCAAACTATATGCAAGGGAAAGAAGCAAGGTCTGCCCTCCAAGGCTCCTTGGAGACTGAAACCAGAGAATAGCCGGACATACACGCAGTCTGAAAAGTCGAAATTAAACAATGGCTTTACAAGAGCACCTTCCCATGTGACTTTGAATCAGAGCAAAGGGAAGTTCACAAAAATCAAAGCAGTAAAAGGGATCTTTATTTGGAAAGTACTCATTAACTGGGCAAAGCCAAGCTTTAAGAACTGGATCTGTAAGGAGAATCCTCCTGGCAATGGAACCAGGGCTTTGATTTCTACTGGCTCATAAAATAAATAATTATATCCACTTACAGTTCCGTATTACCTTTCAGTGTACAAAGTGCTTTCTCGTATATTCTTTTACTTGATCTTCACAACATTCTTCCTCGGTACTGAGGCCTGATTATTCCCTTGCATGGGTTAGGAAATTGAGGCTCGAAAGGCAGACAGGATTTCCTCAAGGTCACATAGCTATTAAGAAGCAGAGCCCAAACTGAAATTTTGGTCTCCAGACTCCCACTTAGGAGCTCTTCCCTCTGTTGCGTCTCTAAAGTTAGTAAGCCGTAATTCGAGATTATCATATCTAGTTATACGCTCATTGGGAAAATTCTAAAAAGCCCCTGGTTACCCAAGAGCTTGAAAAAATGAGGCCAGACTTGGAAGGAGGCAGACTTCAAGCTGTTTTCATATGTTCTCTGTGACAATGGCAAGACTCCAAGGTACATCTTGAAGATAAACAAAATTTAAATAAACTTTATTTTTGACTTGCATAATAGCAATATCAGAGCCTAAAACCACTGCATATACAAGAAGCTCTCTCAATGAAAAACAAAACACTCTAGTTCCCCAGTCAATTTGTAAACTTGAAATAAGCTTTTTTCCAAGTTTCTCTCTCAACTGAATTAAATATTGGAAATTGACATGCTAAAAATAGTTGAAACTTCCTTGTCGTTCCTGGAGTTGGGTTTTCTTTATTTGTACAAATGTGAGCTATACGAAAGCAGAAAGCTCTGTGGGAGGGTCACTGCTTTGGTGGCCAGAGATGCTGTGAATTGTGGCTCTAGCTGAGTGACCTATGGAGCAAACTATTTATTTACTGAGTGCTTTATCTGTATAATGCAAACAACGCTATCACTGCCTGTTTTCCACCCTAGCACAGAGGAAGAGGCAGCCTGGAAAAATCCAGACTTTAGAAAGACAAAAATCAGCATCTTTAACTAAGGAGAAGCTCGGAAGAATGCAGACTCTTGGAACCCAGAAGTCCTCATTCCCTGCAGTTGATCACAATCTATCAGGCGGCCTTTTTTAAACAAGCAAGAACACTGACTGATGCTAGGGGAGAAAGCCTGTTTGAGATGTCAGTCATGCCTACCGCCCACAACCCATCTTCAGAGTTCATCATTCCATTTGCACCAAATGACACCTACCACCTAACCCGAAGAGAAGACAGCTGCCTATGGAGGATCCATCCATAATTCAGCAAATCTATTCTCTAGCCTGGGAATGTAGAATATATGGTTAGCAATTGAGATACCCTAGCAGGATGGGAATTATTTGCGGTTACAGCTGATAGAGACACATTAATAAATATAGAATCAATGTCAGGACAGGACCCATTCAAGAAAAAGCTACCTCCAAGCAGAGCAGCCATGGGGAAAGTACTAAATATGAAAAATACAGCTTAACAGACTAGCAGGAAAAAATAGTCAGGAGACCAGTAGCTCGGTGAGAGAAGGAAGTGGACTGAGGTCCTGTTTTGCAATCCCACTGCCTCCCCTGTGGTGCTGTTGTTCAAAGAATCGAATGTAATAAATATATAAAAAAAAAGAGACCAAAGTTTAGTTACATAAATAAAAATCAGTATCAAAAAGCCAAAAACCAAACTACAAGCAATATGAGTGAGGACTGAGAGGAAGCAGAGAATGGGCAGGAAATCAGACGTGAGTGAGGATAACTGGAGAACTCCTCCAAAAGAAATCAACTAAATCAAGTTTGGGAAGAAAGGAGATATGATGGTTGATGGGAGAAAGGTGTTTATCTAGAAAGAATATCTTTAGAGAAACAGCAAAATTCAAGACCACTGAATGTGCCTTCAAAAATAAGCTAGTAAAATAGTCTAATCTTTCAAAGAAATGAGAAAGGTTTTAAAATAAACTCATTTTACATCATATCTTCTAGTCTGATGATGATTTTTAAATTACTAGATTGCTTTGAAATGTATTTTTCCAATAAAAGAAGTAATTTTTCACTAGTTTTGCTGTGTTTGAGTCCAAAATCAAATGTATTCCTGGCATCTGGCTCACCATAATCATTTTTCAGTGAATTGTGTCTTAACATGTTCAAGTTCTGCTTTTGGGACTCAACATAGACATGCTTGTTTACAGCTTAACCACAAAAGAAAAAATTTTTTCTTATGATAAAGATTCAACTAGTTATGATGCATGACAACCATTTAATTTGATATTAGCTTTTCTAACTTTTTTATTTGAAAGGCAGAGGCAGAGAGAGAGACAGAGAGAGAGAGACAGAGAGAGAGAGATGTTTTCTATCTGCTGGTTCACTCCCCAGATGGCTGTAATGGCAGGAGCTGTACCAATTCGAAGCCAGGAATTTCTTCCAGGTCTCCCATGTGGATGCAGGGGCCCATGGAGTTGAGCCATCTTCTACTGCTTTCCCAGACCATAGCAGAGAGCTGGATCAGAAGTGGAGCAACTGAGACTCAAACTGGTACCCATATTGGGATACCAGCGCCACAGATGGCTTACCTGCTACACCATGGGGCTGGCTCCCTAACATCTGTTTTGAAACACCTTAACAAAAATACACATATTGTCTTAAATTCCATTGTTTGCTTTTGCCTTAAAAAGAGGATATACATTTTATAATATTAAGGCTATATCACATGATTCATACAAAACCATAGGAGAGTCTTAAAGCACTGACCATGTTGGACATATATGTTATGCTACACCCCCAGCATAAGAGGAATTGTCAAATCAATCAAGAGTTTCCGGCCAAGTAAGAACAGGTGATTCTAATGGAAAGCACAAAAAAAAAAAAAAATCAATGAGGACAGCTGTTGTGTGACAGTCCTTCTTTTAGGGTTGCTAGAAAAGGAAATAATAAAAACCCTAGGGAAAGCCCAGTGCAACTTCTAATATCTTACTACCATTTTGTGAGGGGTTAGAGGGAGTTCAAACTTATTGCATAGGTACTTGAGGCCATCCCTTTGTTCCAAAACGTATTTATGGAGCCTCTATGATGTGCCAAGTTCAGTGTCCATTGCTGAGTAAGAAGCCCTTTTTGTGGCATTTACCATCTAGGGAGGGATGAGGTCTTTTACATACAATTGCTTCCTTGCATCATCCTCATTCACATCCCTGTGCCTTCTAAAATGCTGCTGTTCCTCCACTCAGGATGGTCCCCCACACACAAACCACATGTGCACACGCACAAGCATAGCTTCTCTGCCTAGTTAGTTCTAATTCCTCAAACCTCAGTACAACTATTACCTACCCTCGCAAGTTCATTCCTAATACCCTGCTTCTGATTCTATACCCTACCCCAGGCTCCATATGCCCTGTTCATGCTTCTATCAAAGAACTTGACATAATGTATAATCTGTGATAATAGCAACTTATTGTGGACCTCCCCTAAATTGGCAGGGACCTGGATCTAGCACAGTACTTGACACCCAATAGGTGCTCAGTAACTATTCCTTAAGTGAAAAAAATAAATGAACTACTAAGAAGCACTGGGGGCAGACAAGCTACCAAAGAACAAAAAAAAGGAAACAATCTTGGACCTTGAAAACACTAGTTTTAGTTTAAAAAGACTCTAATTTGCAAACAGGAAGAAAGGATTATTCATCTCACATTGTCCTAGGAGTTTGGGGGTCAAGTCTATTTAAGATTTGAGTCTCTTACAAACATTACAGACTGCCCTTCACCAACTCAGCACTTTGATTTTGTCTGGGAGTATGGTCAGTATCTTTTGACAATCACTAATGTGCATACACACACACACACACACACACACTTGTGGAGTTCCTAATCTTTTCCTTAGATGAATTATTGGGGAACATAACACACACACAAGGTATCACACAGCAGATGTTCTATTGAAGAATTAAAAATA